AGACGCTGCCCCAGGGCCCCCTCCTGGCCGCACCTGCTGGCCCGGGAGTCTCTCGCCCTTAATGACTGTTACTCTAACAGAAAACCGTTGCAATTCTAAAAAATTGTCACTAAGTAAAAACAAAAAAACTGTTTCAAGGGCTGGGATGCTTTGTACTTGGAGAACCACCGGATTGTCTTGCCTCCGGGTCTTGCTACCTCAAGCTCTGAACGGGTTTTGAGAAGTGCCCACTTCCCTCACCCAAGCTCCAGTTTTAGGGTCTTGGGGTAAAAACAGCCAAGCCCAGGGGCTCCCAAACAGAAGGCAGCAGCCACTCAGCTCCCGCACATGAGGGATGGACTTGGTTTCTTGGTTTCGTTTGGCACTGAGAACCCAGTGGCCCGGGCCCTGCAGGTCCTGCCTGACCCAGAGCCTATCTATGGGGCATGGGCATCGGCTGATTCCAGAAATGACTCCTCGGGTGGAAACTACCTCCCAGACACAAGCTGTCCTAGAGGTGACGGCTGGGATTCCCAGTGGCCCTTTTGAAACCTTGTTGGTCTGGCTACCAGTGAGTCACTTCAAATTGGAAACACTGGGGGAGGGGAGAAACGTAAAGTGGGGGGTTGCTACAATTTCCCCACCCTGTCCACTCGAGATTTTAAGGATCTTTCCCTAATGAAAAAGCTTCGTGCTCAACTTCGCCCTACTTTCAAGCTGTTCCTTTAACAACTCTCCTTTGGGAGGTGGCCGGCCACGTTCCTCCCTGCGGCTCCAGTGTGACCCGGGAAATGGCAGTATGTGTGTCTCGTTTGTCTAACCTCCTGACTTTTCCTCATAGCCCCCACTTGAGGGCGTCCTCCTTATCTCTTCCCCTTCAATCCTGGTCCTGTCATCCTGCCGTGGAGCTTGATACGTCATGACACTGAGCCCTTAACGTCCATCTCTACAGTCAAGCCCAACATCTCCCAAGTGCTGCTTCGGGTCGGTGGTGCCGCGTTCCCAATCACCACACACCTTCGAGGTGGGAGCTTTGTCATCCAACGCTGTCAGTTCAGAAACAGTTGTTCTAGCGCCCTACCCTGAATTAAACTGCAAATGCGTGTCCACAGATAACGATGATCAGGGTCCTAGGTCCTGGAGAAGTGCATGTGGCAGCAAACCCAGGGGAAATATTTGGTGAGGCCCCATTTCCTTAGTGGGGGTTTGAGTCTGTCTTCTAAGGAAAAGCTTTTCTTTCTCTCCTGTCCTCGCCCCCACCCTCACGGCCCCAAGCCCACTCAGCCACAACACAGAGGCGTTACAACCGTTTCCTTTATTGTACTTAGTGAGGCACCCAGATGGCTGGGGGGGGGGGGGGGGG